CAGTGCTAAATGAGAAATCAAAGAACTAGGAAAAAGAGAAGACTTGGGGCAGACTTACACTGATTATCTTAAGTTTGAGAGTTATAAAAAAGAGAGCTACTGAGCTTGTCAGTTTGAGTTTTATTCTATTTTCCTAGAGAAGTCAGATTATTTATATACAGCTAGTAATAAGGAAAAATTCCTGCTTTGTTCAGGAATTGAAGACTTACCCAAGAGACAAAAACTATCTGTGGGCAGAATTTAGGAAAAATCATCTTATTAAGAGCTTTTTAACATTTAGAATTAGAGGAGAGTGAATTGGTACTGCAGGCAGGCTCCCTTTTTGCAAGGTCTCCTGGGCAGTGGATTAACTGCAAAAGTTTCATGATTCTTTTTGCACCCCTTGTACAATCTGCAGCCTCAATGTTTTACAACATTTCAAATATATATTGTATATAAAATACTCAGATAAGACAGAGATTGATTTTGTAAAATTAAAAAAAGGAAAAATCCAAATCCTCATTAATAGGGGACTGCCTGTTAACAAATTACGGAATAAACTAGAGATGGGTTAAATTGGACCTCAAAATTCAGCCAAATGGGGACAAATGCCTATGCCACCAACATTTTTGAAATCCTTGAACTTGTGTGAGATTAATGAATGTGACTATGTATAGCACCATCACAACTTATAATTGTAATAGCATTAAGATGAACAAGACATAACATTTAATTATTAATATCTATTCACTATCGGATAAAGATAAGCATTCTTCACGCTATCTAGTGAAAGAGAAAGCCCCTTATGTGCTTTATATTCTATTGACAGTCAAGTATGAATATATATTTATTAAGAGTAAAATACAATTATGATAAATGTGCAAAATATTTGAAATAAAAATAAGTGAAGACAACCATCTTAAGTTTGCCTCTGAAAATATGTAGAAAACATCTTTTTCAAGCAGTGTTTAAAAACTTCAGTATGTGAGATTACATAAATCTAAGTACTTCAGTCACCATTGATGAAATCTGCAAATCCATGAACTAAAGATAATTTTTACCTTACTCATTTCATTATCAGAAGAAAAAAAAGTTGAATAGTTTGGTGGCAACACTACCACCAGCAGCCCTTTATACTGCCAGAGTATAACTCTAAAAGTATTTTGTTCTTCCATTCATCTCAGTGCAAAGTGATCATTTATTATTACAAATGTGCAATACACTGAGGGTGGGAGCAATCGCATGGCTGAAAAATTACTGTTCTTGTACTATAATATCAAAATTCACTAAAATTGGATCACCAAAATAAACAATATTATAAAAGTTAAATAAAATTTTAAGAACACATAAAACCTCAAATTTATTCCTGTATCCTGGAAGCTCCTTCTATGATGGTAAAGTAAGATTTTAGCCTTGGCTAAAGACTGATTTTAACACTTGAGATCACTTGGTCAAAATGCAGTGCACCTCTAGAAAATATAAAAAAATAAGAGTTTTACATGAAACCTGAAGAATGATGTCAGAACTGTTTCTCTGTGCCTCTGTTTTTTTGGTCTCTAATAAAAGTAACCACCTTATATGGATGTGAGGCTCAAATGAATTAAAAAGACACAGAATGGGGCACAGTAAGTACTCAATAAATGATGCTATTATCATTACGTCCAATGTATCTTACTGAGTGTATAAATTTGTAAAGTTCATTTTTCAAAATTTGCAGTTATAGCAGGGAAAAAAAACTCCAAACTATACACCAAACTATAAATAGTTGTTATAGCAGGGAAAAAAATCTCCAAACTATACACCAAACTATAAATAGTTGTTATTTCTGGGGGCCTTTCATTTTCTGTGTTATAAATTTCAGTTGTGTTTGAATTTTATATTGTTCTATTTTCTAGTTAAAAAAAGATAAAGATACTTTAACAATTACTGAATTAACAGTAACTTATTTTCTCAACCAGTAGATACTAAAAGTACAAACTAATATCATGTAAGTGTCCTTGAAATTTGATATTAAAAAAGGAATCTTTGTATTTGAAAGATAGGAAACATTGTTTTGGATCATGATAACAGTTTCAACCATACAGAAAGCATCTTTTAATAGAAAGATCTCAGTCTATAATTCTAAGGATACAAGATTATGCTTCTTAATTATAGCCAAGGACTCAAAAGTAGAACAATGATTATCATGTGAAAAACACATTATTAGGTAGTCTTGAAGAAGGCAGAGGAAAGTCAAGACAAACTACAGGTTATATATACTAAATTCAAAGACTATTCCTTTTCGAATATAATTTTACCAAACTCTAAACTAATCTGAGATACTCAATTCACTTTTAGAAGGAATCTGCATATTTAAACAAATTTGCTTTAAAAAACAGTGCCATTAAGATGCAAATTTAAAAATTCATAAATTTAATTTGATTCTACCTGAAGCAGGTTCCCATGAGTCAGAAGATGATCTTTTTCTTGAGAGATGTCCATTTTCCTATTAGCAAAATAAGAAAAATTAATTAGGAGTCGAAGGAAGCAAAGAATGTGAATTTTTCTTCGTAACATTTAAACACAGATTTTTAGACTGAACGAAGCAAGCACCTATATTTGGAGGTAAATTCAAACTTCTGTAATAAAATATCTTAAATTCTTAAGTTTCATCATAGAAACAAAGGGCATTTGTATCATAAAAATATAAAAATGCCAGTTTTCCTAATGCAAATTTAGAGATAATTCAAGAGTAATATTATAGCGTACTATTATTTTGATAAATACTAGGCCTAATACTTGCCAATCAAACGGCTACAACTCACTCTTCAATACTTTTAAGTATTGATGCAATGCCAAATACTGAAACTTTATAATAGACCAAATGTTACTAACCTCTATTGATTATTAGCAAATCTCACTTAAGGCACCAAATCCCTGCAGACCTTAGAGTTTCCAAATATATTTTCCAGCAACATACAATGCAACAATCTCCATTCACTCCTAGAATGCCATAGTTTGGTTTATCTAGTTTTAAAATCTCATAGCATCTTCTCAGCATAGTAATTTTTTGTTATCTGATCTTCCTGTATTTGTTCTGTATGTAGAGAGGTTTTTTGAAACAGATATACTTAACATGACTATCTAGGAGAGAGGAACAGCTTTTATGCTAATCTAAGTTTGGTCCATTTTCAAGAGAAATTTGATGATGTTAAGATGTATTTGGATAATTTTCTAAGACCCATACTCAAGATTTATATGTAATCTAAACTAGTGATTCTCAAACTTTAAAGTGCATTAGACACCTGGAAGGCTTGTTAATCACAGATGGCTGGACTCTACCTCTAGTTTCTAGCTCAGTAGGTCTGGGGTGGAGCCCAAGATTTATTTTTCTAACAAGTTCCTAGGTGATGCTGATGTTGCTAGTTCAGGGACCACATTTTGAGAACCTCTGTTCTAAACCATTTCCTGCTATTTTTGATTTTCCATTCTTCAAGTATCTCCCTTCAGCATAGCCTACTTTAACAATGACTATATTTGACTTAAAAAAAGAATGCTTTACTGATTAAGAAAGGTCTTTGTTCCTGGTCTGAAAAAATTAAGGAAAAGAAACACTGCTTTACTGAGTCTGATAGACAAGTGGAGAAAATCTAATAAAACTAGCTTCTACGCAAACTGTGTATCAGCATTTCTTTACCAAAAGATACCAATATGAACTTAACAATTATTAAATACTTTTATATTTAGCATCTAAATATAAAGCAGTAGCCAAGCTAATCAGTAATTATTGTGCTTACCAGGTTTGAAAGATTACTCTTTCCAGGTGCGACATCATTTTGTTTACTTTGTTCCTGCCTCGGTTGACAACTTCTTCCTATACTTGAGGATTTCAAGGAAAGGTTGCTTGCTTCTGAGAAAGAATTTTCTGAGTTGATTCTTTGCTCCATTTGTTCCTTTCTCAACTTTTTTAGTTCCCTTTCTCTACAGTAAGAAGCTAGTGACAACTGGAACTTAGCTCCCAGTGGGCTTTCTCCTGGGTGGTGCCTGGATAAGCTGCTCCTGCTGCTAAGACTTCTGGAGGTATTCTTGAAGATGTCAGCTTCTGTCACTGTGGCCTGCTTTCTGGAATCTGCATTGGTCTTGCTTTGATCTCTATCATTCTTCTCCCTATTTTCATGAATGAACTGTGACTTTCTTCTCTCTGGAGATCTATGTTTTTTCTTTAGTGTCTTCATCTCTTTTGACAAGTGAAATGAAGGAGGAAGACAGACTTTTGTAACTGTCTTTGGACATTTTGTGGTTAGTGACACACAAGGCTGACATGATTCATGTACACCACGATCTTTAGGGTGCTCTTTAACACCTTTCATGAAAGCCTCTAAAATAGGGCTCTTTTCTGACGACACTCTTTTGGGTTTAGATTTTTTTGGTGAGGATAGTTTCCTTTCGAACTGCTCTGTCCCAGTGATGGACAAACCACTTCCTCCATATTTGATGTTTGATTTTTGTGGAGAATCCAACATATGTCTGTCTAAATAGCCTATTAAAACATATATAAATTGCATATTATTAAAAATATACAAATTATTTTGTACATTTAAATTAATATTTAAAATACTAATCCACCATAAAAATTTTTGATTTATTTAGATATGATACATATTTTATTGGCAGAGGTGATTAAGACATGGTTAATAGTTGTACTTTCATAAGCTCCCTATGGCTCTATTTATAAAATAAGTTACTGCATTAGAGAATCAAAATAGTATACATTATGAAAATTACCACAGGAATTTTAAATGTAATAAAGTGTAAGAGCAAAAGTTTCTTGACGATGTTTAGAACTTATATTTGTAAAAAGACATTGCATTTTCATATTTCAATTTTAAACATTATGTTTAATGAGTTTAGATCTAAAAATTAAATCCATCTCCCTCCCTCCCAAAATGCATTAATGGAATACATACCTTGTTTTGAAGCTGGTTTGAAGAAATCTATAATTGACTGCTTCCTGAAAATAAAAGCATAACTAATATGGTATCACATAAGCAAATATTAAAACCTCAATAATTCAGGTTAAATGGAGAACACTAGTAGATTTATAGTATATAGGCTGGATTTCACTGAATAGTTTAATCAAATTCTGACAATGGCAATCATGCGTTGCTGATAAAAAATTGAAAATACAATCCACTACTTCCTGTAGGAGTAAATTTATAAAATACAACTGAGGTTTATACAGCCTACAGTACTAAAGTGTAAGATTGAAGCGTGGATCCAGAGAATTGGTAGAGTGCTTCCTGGGACTGAAAAGCTTGCTGTTACACAGCAGAATAAAAGATCTTGAAGGCATCTGATCTTCTTCCTTTATATATCCACTGACTGGTACAAAATAATGCTTAATAGATGTTTGCTGAATGAATAATGGAGATTGTAAAAACTGAGTAAAATCTTAAGGCTCATTAACAAGAATAGATGGTAGAATGTCAATATAAGTGATTTGGCCAGTCTTGGGAGGTAGATGGAAGTGTGGCAGGCAAAAGACAGAAAGGATCAAGCATTAACTTTATACTTTTATACAGTACCATCTTTATATACTACCTTCTTTATACACTAATAGTTTAAAAATCTTAATTTTTAATCTAAAAATTCTTAAATTAGAAAAATAATGCACTGTCTGGGAAAAATACAAAACAAACGGAACAGGAAGTAAATAACAAAAACAATTCTTTTTAAGGATTTCTGCAATGTACAGTGGACATGAAGTGAAACAGAACCATATCACCAGAATTTGTATTGATTTGTTCATGTATTTAGTTGTCAGCTGCATAGAGGGATGTCATTATGTGCAGAGCAAAAAATTAACTTTCTGGCAAGTTTTGCTAAACAGTATTCATTTTACTGAAAGAGAATAAGTGGTAGTCTCACTTTATCTAAACATTTATCCACTACGAGTTTGGAATGCTCAGAGAAAACTTGAATAATCCAAGTCCCTTGTAGGTTAAGCTTATTTTATATCTTGTACACTTTACTGGTTACATTAAAAGAGGAAGGCTCATTTTTAATGGTTTACCAAGAGTCTATAATGTTTGAGATATTGGTAGAAAAGCTAAGTGGTTATGAACATGAGTGATGGAAGGAAGAATTTATGCATTTGATTTAGAAAAATAAATATCAGGTAAACTAACTCCATGAGAGTAAAGAAAGAAATGCTGGAGGTTCTGTAAAGTGGAGAAGGATGATGCCCTCAGATATTGGTTGAGGAAAGAGAGACGAGACAGGATTAAAAAGAGGTTAATTCAAAACAAGATAATACTAAATGTTTTTACATTAATTTCTAAAAGTAACACTGTATCTCTTCCCTAAAAATATTAGATTTCTGGCTTCTAATTGATTAATGCACCAGAGAGAAAAATGGTTTGGGTAAAACATGCAAGAAATTTGTAAAATAACTATGAATGTAACGTTCAAAAAGGAACGGTTCCCTAAGTTCATATGCACAAAAATGTTTATTATTTATAACTAGTTAAAAAATTATAACAGCTCACAAACCCTTATTTGAAACTTTTGGAGCCAAATGTATTTTAGAATTCTGAATGTACTGGATTTTAGAAAGAGGGTAACTTGGATGCAGTATGTAAAGCCCTCCAGTGGGGTCTTACACTGCACTCTGACACGTTAATATTTCTCCAGCAAAGTTATGAATACTTACACTTAATGGAATAAAGACCATATACAACTTTCCATTAGTTCTAGTCAGGTTTGGCTGCCAAATAAGATGTAGTGCCAAACTTACTGAAAACTTTGAGTTTTCATATCTTTCTGACTTTCAGAAATAAGGGATTGTGGACCTGTACCACAATATTGGAAGACAAATTTATTGTTAAACTTACGTTACAAATTTTTACACTTAAAATAAAAAAGACAGTACCAAGTGTGTAGAGAATTTAAACACGTTTTATTGTCAGAGGATGTCATTTGAGGAATCTCCCCATCTCATTACATAGCTCTCACAAAATCTTTACATAACTGGCCTCTTGGAGAGAAGTAAAATTACTGGAGAAAACATATCACACTCCAAATCTGCATGTTCTTTTAAGTATGAATTATCGTGTACACTTAACTATAAAGTAATTCGTGGAAGGGTTTTCTTCATCACATCTTACATAATTTCACCCACAATATAAAAAAGTTTATACTATTAAACCACTAGGATCGGTAGAGCTGGCCAAGTATAGAAACCACCTAAATATGCATTAACTAGTTAGGGCCCCGGGTACCAGCTATCGTAAAAGACAAAAATCACGTTCTACCTAAGGCGGGATCTCCGTAGCCATCTAGGCTGTGGTCACTAGACCGAGGACAGCGTCCCAACTAGAGAAGAGGAAACTCGAACTCCCAGAAGCCCCCGCACGGAGGCGGGGCGGGGGTTTGCCAGGCCCTGGAACGCGGAGGCCTGAGCTCGCGGAGGATGGCGGGAACTAGAAGAGCGGCCGTCCGCAGTCCTCCCTCATACCCTTGCCCCCGCGACCCGGCCCCTTCTCAAGCCCTCTGCACGGTACCTGTCCCCAGGACTCTCTGTTCTCTTTCCCGCTGCAGCAGGGGCGGTACTACCGGGTCTCAGATGGCAGCGCGGGGGCGACGACCCCGGGGCTGGGGATGAGGGGAAACCTGGCCTAGCGAGCATGCAGCGCCTTGTCATGTCGGCGCCGCTGGCGACGGCGGCATGAGCTGTGGCTGGAGAAGTTGGGTGCGTGGTTGCCGTTTTGCTGCTGGGACTCTGGGAGGCTGTCGGAGCAGAGGTGGGCGGCACCCCCTTCTCTCTTCATGGCGGTTCTCTCTTCGGAAGTGACTCCTGTGTGAGCGGGAAGGAACCTGAGGACCATCAAGGGGCGGGTCTTACTTGAAGAGTCGCATTCTGATTGGATGGCACGGCGGTCATTTCGGTAGTGGCGCAATAGAAAGCCGTAGCCTCTCTGAGGAAGGAGGGGTTTCGGGAAGGGGGAGGGGAGAAGGAAAACTGCCCCGCCATCACGTGCGCGGGGGGCGGGGGACGGAGGTGGCGCGCGCTGCCGAACCAGCGCTGCCGAACCCCGGCCGCGTCATCCGTGGCTAGCGCGTGGGGCGGGAAGGCGCGGGCCGCTGTGGGCGCTGCGGCAGCTGGGGGCACCAGCCTAGTCGAGAGCGAGGAGCGAGGTTTGCAGAAGCAAACGCAAGTCCAGCAGCCGCCTTCAGTGAGGATGGCTTGCAGTTGGGTTTCTTGTGCCACACAATCGTGCCTCAGAAAGTCTCAGCTATTCATTACATTGTCTCTCTAGCATTTTAGGCCAAAATGTCCTAATTTCCTCTGTAGTCTGCAGAGACCGATCTGAAAACTTGTCCATTCTGAGGGTTCTTGAGTGCTGTGGTTGATTGTTTTTCTGTTTCTTTTTTTTTCTTTTTTTCTTTTTAGAAAGGAAAGAAACTCCGATGGAATAGACTTTTTATTCCACAGAAGCGTTTTGTTTCTCAGCTGCTGAAAGGAGTTGTCCATGAAGTCTCTGCAGCCAGATTCTTTGGAGATTTTTTGAAAGGAACATAGTCAGGTTTCAATTACCCATGTTAAGTGTAGACAGCATAGATTAGTGAAAGCTGCCAGCAGTTTCCAGTCCTTTGTAAGTGGCCTGTACTTTAGAGCAGAGATCCATAACCCCTGAGCAGTGGTCGGGTACTGGTCTGTGGCCTGTTAGGAAACTGGCTGCAGAGCAGGAGGCGAGTGGTGGCGGAGCGAAGCTTCATCTGTATTTGCAGCCGCTGGCCCCCACTAGCATCATCACCTCAGCTCCACTCCAGATCATCAGGCATTAGATTCTCGCAGGAGCACTGGTTCCTTGGTGCCAAAAAGGTTGAGGACTGCTGCTTTAGAGGCTGTTAGCCAGTGTTTTCCTTACAAACGGAGAGACTGATAAGAGTATCTGAGCCTCGGTTTCTGCATCTATAAAAACGGGTATTCTACTTTTCTGGGTAATTAATAAAAGATAAGCATTGTAAACTGCACAGTTCAGAGTATCTCATGTAATAAGTACTGAGCAAATTAGAGTTCCTTTGTTCTTTAGACCAACTCTTATACTTTAACTTACTATCAAAATCTTCCAGAGACAGGTCAGATACTGTTATAATAACTATTAACTAAAATATCAATCACAAGGATGTCCAGGCTTAATTAGCAGGCCTGGTCAATTGGTTGGACAGAGCAAAATCTTAAATGACACAAAAGAATTTAGACAGGTCTTTAAAGTTTATTGCACTGAGATTTAACTGCTTCGATAGTTAAGCATGCCCGACTGACCTGAAGTTCACCTTTTCTTCCTGGTTAGCCCTCAGGATGAAGAATTAATGAGGAATAAAGTGGTGATCAAGGTGAAGGGTGGAAGGTAAACGGTGAATGTACAGGGCTCACATGCATCCAAAACATATATACATAGCTATCTGTATGCTAGATAGTAGTGATGCAAGAAAGGAAACACTACAATAAGGAACATTTTTCTGCTGCTAATAACTGAGAAATTGCTATATCTAGTATTGTTCCTTACTTTAAAAAGAAGATAAGATATGCTTAAAATATATTGCATGAATAATGACATATGATTTTTATTAAGGGCTTTTTACATGTATTATTTCCTGTCTCTTGTCTTGTGCTTTTTGTTGGATGTTTCTACACTAATAAGTTCCTGCTTCTATACTAGCACATCTACAAAACATTTAATCTGATTCATTTCATTGCATGCTCAGTCCATAAAAAAGAGTAGTGCATAAAAACACGTTCTGCATGATCAATTCGTTGCTTTTCTTGGATTATAGTATTTGAATCATCCAGCTTTCAAGATATCACTCTAAAGTCTGTACTCATGCTATCAAACAATAGTTTTCACATTTTCTTAATCTGAGCAACAGATTATGGAGTTAAGTGAGGCAAGAAATCCCTTGATCAATAAATGGAGATGGAGTCATAATGAAAACACAATTAAAAAAAAAATCTTCTTAACAGGGAGGTAGTTATCTAAATCTTCAATAAGCATCAAGGCTCTTCTTTGTTTAAACTGTGTTTGAAAATGAAACAAATTTGGGTTGCAGGGTGAAATATGCTCAACATACTAATCAGAACTCCTAGGAATTTCTAAGGCCCTTTTTATTCCCCTAAATAGCATTGGACAGTTTATTTTGTGTTTATATGCCTTCTCCTGCTTTGTGTATATATTCAGTTAATGTAAGGGCTTTTTACACATTAATTTGTAGTGGGCTGGAAATACATGGCCAGGAAGCTGTACACTAAGTGAAAGATGTTAAAGAGTTCAGGTGTTTGTCCTCAAGATTAGTAGAGAAAAACTTGCGTGGGGCTGGGGGAGAGGATGAATAAAGTAGACAAGACTGAATTAGAGATTTAAGACAAAACTTCAGCGAGGATTAGAAAAATAATTTGGAGAAATTAAGGCCAGATGACCTTAAAAGGCTAGTTTGAGCAAAGATTTTTGGTCATGGGGATGAGGAAGCAAAGCCCACAGGAACAGAGTGGCTTCTGTGTATGAAACTTGTATGGGGTACATACAGTTCAGCTCAGTTTGACACTCAGAGTTGTTAAAGACAATGAAAGACCTCTGACTCTGGCCTTGATGGGAAAGAATGGGGACAGCGGCAGAAACAATGTTGCATGAACAACAGATTAAATTTGCTGGGAGAGTCAAAACCCAAAGTGGGAGTCCTGAGAGGAGTGGCAGTATAACTCATGCCAGAGATCCCAAGCAGTCACAAAGAAAACAGCTTGCGCAGATTAGCTCACACAGTACCATAGCGGGCAGTGACTAAAAGAACAAAAGGTTAGTAAGTTAACAGAGAATGAAGAAGTTTATTCAAATGCAGGGAACTCTAAAAGTAACTTCTGATTTTACAGTCATGACATTCTTTTGCTCTGAATTTGCTACACTCTGGAATAAACTCCAAGGCTCTTGTTAGAGGGTGGGTTAGGGCAGGTGGAGAGGCAAAGATAGGTTTGCTGCATAGTGGCTAGGAGAATGTGTGGATGGGAAGATAGAGGTCACTTGGGAAGCAGGATAAGGAATGGACTTAGAGAAACAGGAAATAATTGACTCAAAAGCCTGACAGAGAAAGGACCATATGATGATCTGGAGAAGGGAAGGCAGCTCTAGCATCTCAAGACCTGCACAAATTACTTAGCAAATGGATGCTGAACTCAAAACTTCCCAACAAGTGCTTGGAAAAAGCACTAGCTTGGTTTAAGGGGATGCAGGGGAGAAGTCAAATGTAATATGTCATGTCATGTTACTTAAACTGCCTGGGAGTAATTAATAAAACTGCAAAAGCAGATTTGATGTTTAGGAAAGTAGATTTCTTGTTGTTTCACTATAGAATGGTGCAAGATAGAGTTTCTCACACTTTAGAATATGAGTAAATATTTGAGATTTTTGACATAACTTATTTCCTATACTATTATTTATGTAATATATTTTTCTTTAAATCACTTTTTAAAGTTAAATACATTTGTTTTAAAAGAAAACAATCATTTCTGTAAGTGGAAAATCAATATCACTTAGAAAGTGATAACTATCCAAATGGAATCTAACTGTAAAAACTAATAAATAACTAAATAACAAATAGAAAATATATATCCATGTTTCTTCTAGAGCCAACGTATTTACTAGTGGTGATAGGCATAGATATTATTCATACATCTAAAATATAAGAGACTCTGGGACTTAGTGGTTTTATGGACTCCAGCCTGTAATCAGGCGTTTTCTAGACTTCGTCAGCAACCCATTAGAGAGTTTTGAAATTGATGTAATGGGTCACAGACCGAATCGAAAAAAAGAGAATGGAGTAGAGAATATTGGTGCATTGCACATAGTATTTGGGTATGTATATTTTGTAAAACTTACATCTTCAGTTATATATATATTTTATATGGCAGTGATATAAAAGGATTTCTTTGGCCCCAATTGTGGACAGTCGTGGAAACATTTGAAAGTCGCTGTAATCTGTATTCACATTTCACGCTTCTGTGTATTGGTGGCACTGAACAATAGCAGTTACTTGGAGGAGAAATGATGGGTATCCTTTGGCACTCCTGCTGGTGGGGGGTGGAGTGAGACATAACTAGGGCTCTCCTTGTGCCCTTTTAAGGCCATACCTTTCGAGAGTGTGTCTATTGGGGGGACTTGTAGAGGGAGGCAGGTGTCTCCAAAGAAGCTTGCCTATATCCCTTCTGTGCTATAATAGTTTTCAAGATGGGGAGGAGTGGCTGAGGTGACCCTTTCAGGTCCCACCTTGTCCTCAGTAATCTAGGGACTGTGGGTGAGAAATGGGAGAGAAGGGAAAATGGTACAAAAGAGAAAGAAAGATCTATTTCTTGTCCAACCTGCCCAGGGCACCATCCTGGAACTGGAAACCATCTGTAGGGAATAATACATTTGATCTCACACCTTTGCAATGCTCTTACAGAATTCAACACACCTATCATGACCCATAAGGCTTTTCTTTATCTGCCTCTTCAGAGTCATTTCCTATCACCACTATCTTTAAGTTGTAAGTTTCCACGACACCAAAATACTGAACCACCTATACCAGGCATGATAAGATGGCCTCCCGAAGGTGTTCTTTTAGCTCTTGATGAGTTTTTTTAAAAAGATATGGGGTAACATTTTAAAATCAAGAGATTTCACATAAACGTCTAGATTTCTGTCTTAGTCCTATAAGGGCTAGGTAGGTAATATAAGTACATGAATCAGTTCCATTTTCCTAACTTTTACAGAGTTGGGATCAGAGAAATATTTCTTAAAAGCATTGATGACAATAATGGCAAACACCTACTGGGTCTTACTATGGGTCTGGCTCTGTTCTAAGCACTTAATGACTACTGACCCATTTAATCTTCACCACATTCCTACAAATTAGGAAATGGTGACATTTGCCCAGTATTTGCACAAATGTGATGATATGGCACCTGGAACTCAGCCTCAGTAAGTAGAGAGATGGGACTGGGAAACCTGGAGGGCACATTCCACACTAAATGGGGACAGCCTCTTCAGGCCACAATTTCCATGTGAGAATGTAGGCCCAATGTTTTCTCTCTCAGCATTAAACCCTGAGAGTGCTGGGGTGAGACGTAACATAGACCTACAGTAAAAGCCTGCAGCTCCCTATTTGAGCTGCCCTAAATGTCTTGGTATATACCCTATATTTCTATATTTCTGTGAGATGGATGTATAGAGGTATTCATTGCAACACTGTCAATAGCAATAGACTGAAGGAGAACTAACTAGTCTAGCAACAGGGGACTAGTTAAACAAATGATGGCACAAACATGCTTTAGAATACTATGCTGCAATTAAGAATTCTGGATTAGATACACAGGATGTGTTGTGGTTAAACATGCAGGCCCTAGGGTTTGACTGCCTCGGTTCAAATCCCAGCTCTGCCACTTAGCAGAACTGTGACCTTGGGTGCGTTGTCTAACCTCTCTGTGCTATTGCCCTCATCTACAAGAGGGAATGATGATAGTACCTACCTCATAAATTTTTGTGAGTTTTAAATAAGTTAATACAAATAAAGCACTTAGAACAGTGCTTGGCATATCATAGGAACTATAAGGTTTAGCTATTGTTACTTATTGTTGTGACTTTGTTAAATTAACATTTGTAAAGTAGAGCCCTGGGATGTTAGGTGGTGAGTCCATGGTCAATAAAAGATCCAAGAGAAAATACAATAGAGAAGTTTATTACTCACAGATCCTGGAAAAAGTATGTGGCATACCTTGAGGTGCCACTTAGGGAGGTCAAGACAGGCTGTAGGCAAGAGAGAGAGCAGCGGGACCAGGGGCACATGCCTTCATTAGGGTCTGTAGTGGAGTGTTTTGGGGTTCTAGGGCTAAAGCTGGGTTGGTCAACTCAGACCTAAAATAGCTGGGTTTTGGTACGCTCCACAGGGGTCTAATTAAGGGGCACACAAGGGAAAGGCCTTGGGAGATGGGAGACTATTTATCACAAGG